TAGTAGGGGAGTTTAAGAGGCCACTTACACCAATGGATAGATCATCCAAACAGAAGATCAATAGGAAACACTAGCCTTAAAGGACACATTAGACCAGATGGACTTAGTAGATTTATACAGAACATTCCATCCAAAAACCACAGAATACACATTCTTTTCAAATGCACACAGAATATTCTCCAGGATTGATCACATATTAGACCACAAAACAAGTCTCAATAAATTTAAGAAGATCAAAATAATGCCATGCATCTTTTCTGACAACAAAGGTATTAAACTAGAAATCAACTACAGGAAGAAAACCAGAAAAGCCATGAAAACATGGAGACTAAACAAAATGCTACTGAACAACGATTGGGTCAATGAAGAAATCAAAGGAGAGGGGCTGGCCCCATGGCCGAGTGGTTGAGTTGGCGCGCTCCGCTGCAGGCGGCCCAGTGTTTCGTCGGTTCGAATCCTGGGTGCGGACATGGCACTGCTCATCAGACCACGCTGAGGCAGCGTCCCACATGCCACAACTAGAGGAACTCACAACGAAGAATACACAACTACGTACTGGGGGGCTTTGGGGAGAAAAAGGAAAAAATAAAATCTTTAAAAAAAAAAAAAAGAAAGAAATCAAAGGAGAAATCAAGAAATTCCTGGAGACAAATGAAAATGAAAATACGACATGCCAAAATCTGTGGGATACAGCAAAAGTGGTTCTAAGAGGGAAGTTTATAGAAATTCAGGCCTACCTCAACAAAGAAGAAAAATCCCACATACACATTCTAAAAGCGCATCTAAAGGTACTGGAAAAAGAACAACAAACAAGGCCCAAAATAAACAGAAGGAAGGAAATAATAAAAATCAGAGCAGAAATAAACGAAATACAGACAAAAAAACAATAAAAAAGTTAATGAAACCAAGAGCTGGTTCTTGGAAAAGATAAACAAAATTGACAAACCCTTCGCTAGACTCACCAAGAAAAAAAGAGAGATGGCTCAAATAAATGCAATCAGAAATCAAAGAGGAGAGATTACAATGGACACCTCAGAAACACAAAAGATAATAAGAGAATACTATGAAAAGCTACACACCAACAAATTGGATAATCTAGAAGAAATGGATAAATTCTTAGAAACATACAACCTTCCAAAACTGGACCAAGAAGAAGTAGAAAATTTGAATAGACCGATCACCAGTAAGGAGCTCGAAACAGCAATCAAAAACCTCCCCAAATATAAACGTCCAGAGCCAGAAGGCTTCCCTGGTGAATTCTACCAAACATTCAAAGAAGACTTAATACTTATCCTTCTCAAACTCTTCCCAAAAATTGAAGAGGAGGGGAGGCTTCCTAACTCATTCTACAAAGCCAACATTATCCTGATACCAAAAACAGACAAGAACAACAACAAAAAAGAAAATTACAGGCCAATATCACTGATGGACATCGATGCAAGAATCCTCAAAAAAATACGAGCAAATCAAATACAACAATACATTAAAAAGATCATACATCATGATCATGTGTGGTTCATTCCGGGGATGCAGGGATGGTTCAACATCCACAAACCTATGAACATGATATGCCACATTAACAAAATGAAGAATAAAAATCACATGATCATCTCCAGAGATGCAGAGAAAACATCCATTTATGATAAAAACTATAAATAAAATGGGTATAGAAGGAAAATACCTCAACATAATAAGGGCCATATATGACTAACTCATAGCAAATATAATTCTCAATGGAGAAAAACTGAAAGCTATCCCCCTAAGAACAGGAACCAGACAAGGATGTCCACTGTCACCACTCTTATTTAACATAGTATTGGAAGTCCTAGCCAGAGCAATCAGGCAAGAAAAAGAAATAAAAGGGAGCCACATTGGAAAAGAAGAAGTGAAACTGTCACTGTTTGCAGATGACATGATTTTATATCTAGAAAGCCCTAAAGAATTCACTAAAAAACTTTTAGAAACAAGAAAGGAATACAGTCAAGTCACGGGATACAACATGAATGTACAAAAATCAGTTGCATTTCTACACACTAACAGTGAAGTAGCAGAAAGAGAAATTAAGGATACAACCCCATTTACAAGTGGAACAAAAAGGATAAAATACCTAGGAATGAACTTACCCAAAGAGGTGAAAAATCTGTACACTGAAAACTATAAAACATTGTTGAAAGAAATCAAAGAAGACACAAAGAAATGGAAAGATATTCTGTGCTCTTAGGTTGGAAGAATTAACATCGTTAAAATGTCCATACTTCCTAAAGCAATTTACAGATTCAACACAATCCCTATCAAAGTTCCAACAACATTTTTCACAGAAATAGAACAACGCATCCTAAAATTTATATGGAAGAACAAAAGACCCCGAATAGCCAAAGGATTCCTGAGAAAAAAGATCAAAGCTGGACGTATCACATTCCCTGATTTCAACATATACTACAAAGCCATAGAACCAAAACAGCATGGAAATGATGCGGGGTCGGTGAGATGAGGAGTCGAAAGAAAGATTTCTTGGACTCTCAAGATCTGGCAGTAGTGCTCTTTTATTTAGAGAATAGTGTGGAACAGCATGGGGACAGGACCCATGGGCAGTCAGAGCTGCTGGGTGGAGACAGGGCCCATGGGCAGGAGGAGGTGCTGCTGCTGCCGCTTCTGCTGCAAACATGGGTGGAGAGTAAGGCTAAATTTAAGGCATAGGTATGTGAGCCATCTCTTTACAAGACAAAGGAAAGAACATGTTAAAAAGTTAAAATGGTATCAGTACAGGTGGGGTCTGGCCATTGGGTAGTCCCACAACTTTTAGATAAGAATCAAATTGGATTAAGTAAAGGCCAGAAGCCACCACCCTAAATCAGTTACACGAGGTTGCCAGACAGTAACCAACTTAAGTCCTTGCCTTCCCCATTATGAGTTTCTAGAGATAAGGTCATCTCCCTTCTTCCTGGCACAGAGAGGGAGGCAACTTTACAGATGGAGGTTTCCCTTACAAATGTAAATGTTTCCCAAGAAAGGGCAAGCAAACTCCAGTCCTTGGAGCCCGCTTCTCATCTGCACTTTTAAAAGTAACCAGCCTAAAATCCTCATCAGTACTGGCACAAAAACAGACATGCAGACCAATGGAGCAGAATCAAGAGCGTAGAAGTAAACACACACATTTATGGACAGCTAATTTTCAACAAGGGAGCCAAGAGCATACGATGGAGAAAGGAGAGTCTCTTCAATAAACGGTGTTGGGAAAACTGGACAGGCACATGCAAAAGAATGAAAGTAGACCATTACCTTACACCACACACAAAACTCAACTCAAAATGGATTAAAGACTTGAATGTAAGACCCGAAACCATGAAACTTCTAGAAGAAAACATAGGCAGTATGCTCTTTGACATCAGTCTGAGAAGCAGCATATATTCAACTACCATGTCTGACCGGGCAAGGGAAACAAAAGAAAAAATGAGCAAATGGGACTACATCAAACTAAATATCTTCCCCACAGCAAAGGAAACCATCAACAAAATGAAAAGACAACCTAACACTTGGGAGAAGATATTTGCAAACCATACATCAGATAAGGGGTTTATATCCAAAGTATACAAAGAACTCATACAGCTCAACAACAAAAAAACCAACAACCCAATTAAAAATGGGCAAACTATCTGAACAAAGATTTCTCCAAAGAAGATATACGGATGGCCAACAGGCATATGAAAAGATGCTCAACATCATTAGCTATCAGGGAAATGCAAATCAAAGCTACAATGAGGTATCACCTCACTCCGGTCAGAAAGGATATAATTAACAAGACAGGAAACAAATGTTGGAGAGGTTGTGGAAAGAAGGGAGCCCTCGTATACTTCTGGTGTGTGTGCAAACTGGTGCAGCCACTATGGAAAGCAGTATGGAGTATCCTCAGAAAATTAAGAATAGATCTACCATATGATCCAGCTATCTCACTGCTGGGTATTTATCCAAAAAACTTGAAAATGCAAATTCATAGACATTCATGCACCCCTATGTTCATTGCAGCATTATTCACAATAGCCAAGACTTGGAAGCAACCTAGGTGCCCATCAAGGGACAAGTGGATAAAGAAGATGTGATATATATACACAATGGAATACTACTCACCCATAAGAAATGATGAAATCCAGCCACTTGTGACAACATGGAAGTTCCTTGATTGTATTAAGCTGAGTGAAATAAGTCAAAGGGAGAAAGTCAAATACCGTATGACCTCACTCATAAGCGGAAGATAAAAACGACGACAAACAAACACTTATTTCACTCAATTGTTTCCATCTTTGGAAGGTGGGGCTCATCCTTTTATGGCTACTTTTTTTTTTTTTTAAGATTTTATTGTTTCCTTTTTCTCCCCAAAGCCCCCTGGTACATAGTTGTATATTCTTCGTTGTGGGTTTTTCTAGTTGTGGTATGTGGGACGCTGCCTCAGCGTGGTCTGATGAGCAGTGCCATGTCCGCGCCCAGGATCCGAACCAACGAAACACTGGGCTGCCTGCAGCGGAGCGCGCGAACTCAACCACTCGGCCACGGGGCCAGCCCCCTTTTATGGCTACTTTTGAAGTACAGATCTTCTGCTGATAAAACTCACCCCCCATAGCATCACACACACCATCAACACAGTCCTGGTCCATGCACACTTCCCAACCCCCTGGAGCATACCCTGAAGCCCCACTGCAGAGGTCCCTACCTCTCCCCCAATGCCCCCACACTTCACCTGGTCCCCACACAGGCCCTACCCCACAGAGGTGGACACACTCGCCTGTCTGTAGAGGATCAAGGCACACAGTCTATTCAGGCCTACAAGTAGCCTGAGGGCTTGCTGTTGGGTGGTGTGTGTCCCTAGGGCAGGTTGCCTGCCCTGGCTAAACTGAATTGTCTGCATTCTAGTGGGTGTGGCAGCCCCCTGGGCTAACAGGCCAGGGGAAGAAGCTCAATGGTATCTGCCTGGATCTGTGTCAGCATGCCTGGACCAGGTCAAAACAATGGCCCCCATCAACGTCTCAGTCTCTGGAGAGGTCCCTTCTCTCGCCAAGATGCCCCCAGAGACCACCAGGTGAGTCTCTTTTCACAAAAATACTGTCAGCCTTCTGTCTAGTGATTTTAGTTTGCTGAGACATGTGAGTTTGTGTGTGGGCCCTTTAAGACCTGGGTCTTTTCGGCTTTTGTCAGATAGCTTTTCTGGGGGTACCATTGCTGCAGTTAATAGCCAGTGAAGCGAGACAGTAAGACTCTCATCTCAGTTGTGCTGAGTCTGAATGATACTTATGTTACTATCGGCCCCTGCTCCAGACCTCACTCCTCCAGGGAGGGCTGCATACCTTAGGGTGGCACCCACCTGGCGAGCTGAGAAGTTTCGCTGCTCCCAAAGGTGGCTTTTTTGCTCTCCTGTAGGAATTTCTGCCTCTTCCACCTTAGTCAGAACTGTCCCTTGTTGTGGGGGTTCTTTTTATCCAGCTTTCAGTTTTCAATCTGGGATAATTTTTCCAAAAATAGTTGCAACCTAGTTGTGTTCGTGGGAGGAGATGAGTTCAGATTCTGCTTATGCTGCCATCATGACGAGATCTCAGTATCCCCACTTTTATTCAAGATAGAATTGGCAGTCCTAGCCACAGCAGTTAGGCAAGAAAAAGAAATAAAATACTTCCAAATTGGAAAGGAAGAAGTAAAACTATCACTATTTGCAGTTGACATGATACTATATATAGAAAATCTTAAAGAGTTCAACAAAAAACTATTAGAACTGTTCAATAAATTCAGTAAAGTGGCAGGATACAAAATTAATGTGTACAAATCGGTTGGGTTTCTATACACTAATAACAAGCTATCACAAGTAGAAATTAACAAAACAATCCCACTTACAATTTCATCAAAAATAATAAAACACCTAGGGATGAATTTAACCAAGGAGATGAGAGGTCTGTACTCTGGAAACTGTAGGACATTGATGAAAGAAATTGAATACAACACAAATAAAAGCAAAAACTTACCATGTTCACAGACTGGAAGAATTAATATTGGTAAAATGTCCATACTACCCAAAGCAATCTTCAGATTCAATGCAATCCATATCAAAATACCGATGGCATTTTTCATAGAATTAGACCAAAGAATCCCCAAATTTGTAGAGCACCACAAAAGACCTCAAATAGCAAAAGTGATCTTGACAATGAACAGCAAAGCTGCAAGTATCACACTCCCTGATCTTAAAGTATACTACAAAGTTTTAGTAATCATTACAGTATGGCACTAGCAAGAAAACAGACACAGATCAATGGAAGAGAATAGAGAGCTCAGAAACAAACCCACACATAGATTACCATATTAATCTATGACAAAGGAAGCAAGAATATATGATGGAGAAAAGACAGTCTTTTCAATAAATGATGTTGGGAAAACTGGACAGCTATATGCAAAAGATTGAAAGTGGACTGTTATCTTGCACCATATACAAAAATAAATTCAAAATGATTAGAGAGTTGAATGTAAGACCTGAAACCATAAAACTCCTAGAAGAAAACATAGGGACTTTGCAGTTTGACATCGGTGTTAGTAATATTTTTGGACTGGTGTCCTCAGGCAAAGGCAATAGAAGAAAAAATAAACAAATGGAACTTCATCAAACTTAGAAGCTTTTGCACAGAAAAGGAAACCATCAAAAAGGCAACCTAGGTAAATGAAAGAAGATATTTGCAAATCATATATCTGATAAGTGGCTAATATCCAAAATTTATTAAGAACTTATACAACTAAATATCAGAAAAACAACCTGATTAAAAAATGGGTGGAGGACTTGAATAGACACTTTTCCAAAGAAGACACACAGACAGCCAGTGGACGCATGAAAAGATACTCAACATCACTAATCATCAAGGAAATGCAAATCTAAACCACACTAAATACTACGTCAAACAAGTAAGAATAGCTATTATCAAAAAGACACAAAAATAGCAAGTGTTGACAAGGACGTGGAGAAAAAGGCACCCTTGTGCACTTTTGGTGAGAATGTAAATTGGTGTGGTCACTATGGAAAACAGTATGGAGGTTCCTCAAAACATTAAAAATAGAACTACCACATGATCCAGCAATTCTTCTTATGCGTATTTATCTGAAGGAAACAAAAACACTAATTCAAAAAGATATATGCACCCCTATGTTCATTGCAGCATTATTTACAATAGCCAAGATATGCATGCAACTAAAGTGTCTATTGACAGATGAATGGATAAAAAAGATGTGGTATATAAATATATATATATACATACACATATATACAATGGAATACTACTCAGTCATAAAAAGATGAAATCTTGTCATTTGCAACGACATGGATGGACCTAGAGGGTATTTTCCTAAGTGAAATAAGTCAGAGAAAGACAATTACTGTATAACTATACTTGTATATGGAATCTAAAAGATAAAACAAATGAACTGACAAAACAAAACAGAAACAGGCTCATAGATACGGAAAACAAACTGGTGGGTGCCAGAGGGAAGTGGATTTTGGGGGCAAGTGAAATAGGTGAAAGGGATTAAGAGCTACAAACTTCTGATTATAAAATAAATGTCATGGGGTTGTAATGTACAGCATAGGGAATATAAGTCAATAACACTGTAATAACTTTGTATGGTGACAGATGGTATCTACACTTATCACCGTGATCATTCTGTAATTTATATAAATATTGAATCACTATGATGTACACCTGAAACTAATATGAGATTGTACATGAATTATACTTTAATAGGATAAATTAAAAATTTATAAAAAATAAATAAAGCCCAGATATGACCATGTAAATCCCTTGCTTGAAGCCCTTGAGTAGTTCTGCAGCAGGTAATATCCTGCAATAGATAATATCCAAGATCCTTAACCCCTGCCTATCTCTTGCTCTTTGCAATTCCTTGAATATACCATGCTATTCTATGTTTCTATTCTTTTGACTCTGCTATTTCTTCTTCCTATAATGCCTTGTCCTCACCTCGCTTGCCTAGTATACCTGTTTGTCCCTGTTCAGGCCATCACCTCCTCTTTAAAATCTTTTCTCACTCTCTCAGTTTATTACTTTCTTCTACTATATCTGTATTCTGTACGTATTTCTATAATTATATGAAACTTAGTATGTTGTAATTATTTGCTGACATGTCTGTCATTTCCACTAGACTGTCAATATGTGAAGGCACTAGCTGTACTTTTTGTTCCTTTATCCATTCCCAGTGCCATGCACTGTGCCTAGCCCGTAGTAAGGACACAAAAAATATAAAAATTCATTTTTCAAGGCACAAACACAAAAATCCATACAGGAAAATATTGAGAAATTTAAATATATCGATATTAAAATGAAATGAGGTAAACTCTTCATTTAACAGACCCTTCTCAGAGAGGACTTCTGAAGTGTTTTCCCCCTTTTTGCATCCTTTCTCTCATTAGCCTCATGATTTCTCTAACTGCTCCATCAGAGACAGGTGCCACCTCCAATGCTTTGTAGTACTCCACATCTCTTCATCCCTAAGGGCTTGTGAAACTATTATCATCCTGCGGTTTATCACGATTCTTCTTGAATCGACTGATATTCATCACCTGTCCAGCTTGCTGAGAGAATGAGGACCTGAATTTATGTCCTGCTGGTTCAAGTACCACTTTCTCTTATTCGTCCTAAATTTCCCCCATTCAAGCATCCCCAACTTCCAAATACTCTCGATCTCAATTGGAGAGGCAAAGGCCTCAGAAGGCCACATTTCCCTTTCAGTGTGTATTTATTTATTTTTATTGCCATTTCTATTGTAGTCCAAATGTAATGATGTTCATGGGGAGTATCAAGTGTCCAAATTAAATACCCTGTGCTGTTTCCTCAATTTATATTCCATGGGAGATTGTATCCAAAATTACCACAGAGGATGGTATTACATTGTGTGTGTGTGTGTGTGTGTGTGTGTGTGTGAGATGGGGGAAAATTCCCCAAAGTATATTGTCATTGAAGCACTGGAATTGAGAAATCCAAGCTATAGTCCTGAATCTATCATTAATACACTCATTCATTCATCCAGCCAACAAATATATTAAGGTCCTATGACGTACCCGGCACAGTGCTAGGTTTTATAGGAAATGTAAAGGCCAATACTTTTCCTCCATAAGCATACTGTGATTTATCAACACAACAAGTATCTCACAGACTTAGAGAACTTCTTTCATTCATTTATTAAGTAGATAATTATTGAAAACCTATTACATGCCACGCAAAGTACTAGAAATAAGTGATAATCAAGACAGACGTGATTCCTTCCCTTAGGAGCTTATAAACTTACTTCTACTTGAGAATAGAAGGAAGTGACTCATTTAACAGATATAAAAGAGACCCAAAGAGAAGAAATAGCGAGTTTACAATGTATATATTGCCTGCTTCATGACCTACAGCCCCTTGAAACTTTTCCTTTTCTCTTAACTACATAGTTTTCCACCATAGAACCTATAGTATGGGAAATTTCTGGGTCTACAGGCTCCACTGACTCAAATCCTAGCTGTTATGGGGAATGGACCCTTACAGTCATGAATCTCTGCCAAATAGTGTTTGTCCTTGACTCTCCGGAACCACCTCCTGCTTATTCATGAGCGATGCATTATGCTGGAAAATGTCTAGTTCTCCAAGAATTGAGTATATAACTCAACCACTAAAATCCTGCTAGTACTACTAAACTGTTGTAGCTTTCATTTGAATCCTGCTGCCTGTGGTGGAGGGATTCTGTTGGACCCAGAGTTTGGAACAGGGACCTTTCACCATACATAGCATGGAATGTTGAAAATTGAAAGAGAAGAAAGAAGAAGGAAGGAATTCATATATTTGCAAGAAATTAATGAAATATAAAACATACAACAAGCCATGGAGTTTGTCAATAAAACTGAAAATTGTTTTTTTAATAGACCAATAAAATAGACAAACTTTTGGCAAGTATGTTCAAAAAATAAAAAAAGACACAGATACTGTTATGTTAACATTTTGAATAATGGTCTCTGTGATAAAATAGTTTCAGTTCTTAACAACTGCCCTAGAGAATAAC